GCAATTAATCAAGACAACAAAACCCAGCAGTAATGTGACAGTGGAAGCATGAACCAATGGATAAGGAGGTCCAACATTTATGCCCTGTTAATACTCATTCCGGCATTTGTTTTAACATTAACTAGGCCTAATTTTTAAACCGACTGTTTTCAGTTTGGCTTAAACAGTTTGCTTTTATGCTAAAGGCTTCTTTATGTCTTAGCATCCTGTTGACTTTACTCTTGTGAGCTGCTTCGTGTGTCCATGGAGAGAAGATGGGGAAGGACGGGGAGGCATAGAACCAAAGACAGTAAAAGCTCTGGTGAATAGATGGGTGGGCTGCATTCCCTCCGTGGCAGCAGGACAACCCGAAACGCTCCCCTCTCTGGTGGCAGCCACCTTATCTCCACCGGTAGGAGCTTCCAGAGTGCTGCCTCTGCTGGAAATCTGAATGTCCCAGGCTGGCTTTTACTGGAACTACTGGTCCCAAGCTGTTTGCGGTTTGTGAGTCAGTACCAGCACTTTGCATTAGCCTGGAAGCCAACTGGAAGCCAACTGGAAACTGGTGACGATCCTTCAGAACTCTTCCAAGATGGTCAGTCTGGAGAATCTCAGACTATGGCCTGTGCCCCAGGCTCTCACCGAGTGGCCCTGCTTGAGCACTCCTCAGAGGCAGCTCCAAGTGCATTGAGGGGACCTGACCTGAGTAAAACCAAACAGTGAACATCTCAGCCCCTGCCTGCAGATGCAAGACGCAATACTCAGAGAAAAAGGTGTGTGTGAGAGGCCTTTCAGCAGGGCTGGCGGAACGGCCTGCTTCGCTTGCCCCTCCCGCCGTCCTCTGCACGATCTGCTTGAAAGGGCTGCTGCTGGTGAGCGCTGGGGGGGGGGGTAAATTTCGGGGTTGCGTAGGCACTTCAGTGCACCCAGGTGTAGCCATGCTGCTCACAGGTGGCCTTGGGGACCGGGAGGAGCCCGGGGCCTCATCAGGGTGCAAAGACTCACTCTGTGCGCCCAGGCTTGGTAGGAAGCAGTGAGCCGGCCTTGCCCTCTTGCCCTGGTAAACACTGGCCTCCAGCGCAGCAGGACACGAGCCGAGAGGTTAGGACAACACCGTTGTGGTTGCGATAGTGGACCTGCCTGGGCCCAGGGCTGGCCCTTTCCCTAAGCCGCTGTGGGGACTGCAAGAGCGGCGTTCCTAGCGCAGAAATGTTAAAACCTGTCCCACGGCATGCCTGCCTGCCCCCCCCCCCCCACACACACACAAAGTTTCCCTTGCAAGAATGCTGGCTGCACTTGACGGCTGATTCATCTCTACCGGTGCTTTTGTAGAGATGCTTTTGCAAAGAACATATTAACTGGTGTAAACAGTTGTGAACCACCCTGAGATGCTAGGGGAGAGCGAGAGAGAGCGAGCGAGCGCAATCCTTGCTTTGTCGGAGACCCCCGGATGGCGAGGTGCGGCGACACTTGGGAACCTCGCAAGAAGCCTGCTGGGCCCGGCCAAGCATCCTCTTCGCTCAGCGGCCCGCAGCAAAACCACAAGCGGCCTGTGCGTGCAGCCCCCGTCCAGGCATGTTCCCCGGCTAGTGGCACACGCTTCCCCTCGTGCAGGAGGCATCCTGTGCCGTCAGGCCTCTCGGGATTCATCCTGCAGGTTGCCTGCGTGACGACAGAGCGTCCGTTAGGGTCTCCTCTGCAGCCACTGCTCTGTGTTCATCCTGCTCATGCTTTCAGCTCGGGGGGGCTCTGAACTGTGTGCAGGTTATCTGAAACAGCTGGGCTGAGCACTGGCCAGCCCGGTCCTGCTCACAACCCGGCCTTCCTGCCCACTTTCCCCAGCGGCCGGAAATCAAAGTCGCCAGCCCGTCCCTCTCGTCTGCCCTCTCCACCATCTGGCCAAATTGCTTGCGGCAGGACGCAGGGCGACCTGGAGGAAGCCCAGCCAGGGGTGCCACAGTGCTGCCCTCTTCTGCCGCCCTGAAATGTTCCGCCAAGCAAGAGCGAGCGTTCTCCATCCAAGAGTGCAACTTGTGCGGGAAAGAACCACACCATCTGCTTGGTTGTGCGGCTGCAGCATCTGTGCTCCCTGGTGGTGCCAGGTGCACCATGGTGGATCCAACAGGCCTTGCACTATGAGCAGGCGAGAGGCAGAACGCGAGAAGTACCTGCAGTCCAGGTTTGCGCTTTGCCACAAGAAGCGCACCAAGGCCCAGAGCACACCGTGTGCGGAGAGCCTCCACGGGGGCGCTTTGCCTCCATGGGCAGGCCGAGCCCCACATCACACGAACATCCGCATCAGCTCGTCCTCCCTTAAGCCTTGCGTGCCGTCCTCCCGCTTAACAAACTCACTGGGGCTGCAAACAAGCCCTGCCTATCTCTTCATCAGGGAGCAGGAAAAGTAAACCTTAGAAACAGCCCTTGACTCTGTTAATGACTAAAGAAAGGTAAACACAGTTGGTGGGATGCTCAGGTTTCCAGAGCCCTGCCAGTGCTGCGGAGCCAACCTGCAGTTAAATGCTGGGGGAGCGAGCGAGACCATCCACCAGGTCTGCTGCCAGGCACGTCCCGACTTTCCATGGTGAAGAATCATCTTCCCACAGTCCTTTAAGCACCCCTCCTTTCTTTCCTGTCCTGTCCTGTCCTGTCCTGTCCTTTCAGCCTCTGCTGCCAGCAGGAAAATGTGCACCGACCAAAGGGCCTGGCTCCAATCTGTGTGGCTCCAGGCAGGGTTTGGACACAAGCCACTTTCCCAGGACTGATTTGGAAATGTCACGAATTCAGCTGGGAATCTCAGCTCTGCATTAACAGCAAGTTTTAGCCCGTAGGGCAGCTTTTGCCAGCCTGGGGGTTTCAGACCATAACTTCCAGGACTCATGATCAGGGCAGGTTGGCTGGGAGGCAGGGGTGGGACCTGTCGTCTGAAACATGTCAGCCTCGTGTCATGTCATGTCCTGTCATGTGGAAGGTGCCACACTGGGGAAGGCTGCCATAGGAGCACAGGGACAGGCCTTTGGGTAACACTTGAATCTCAACACCAGTGGGGCCGCTGGTGCTCCATGCTCGGGGACTGCCTTGTGGCGATCCGACTATATTATGCAGAACTGTGACGACTGCAGAACGAGCCGCGCAAAGCAAGATGCAAATTTAGCTTTTGCTGCAGAGTTTGGCTGCAGCATTTAGGTGTGTCTCTCCTTGCTAGTGGCACGACGTTCAGACAAGGCAGGGCACAGCTGAGCAAATGCAGCCGAGGCATTTGTAAAATGGAAATGGAATGGAGATTATTTAAAAGGTGCTCTGTACTTGGGTAAATCAGTTTCAGCTCAGGACAGCAGGACAGGCCCAAATCATTACATCGCCCCAGGCATAAACTGAACACTGGGGCCCTCTGCAACATTGCAGCCTCCTGTATGTTCTTCTTTCACCCGAAATTATGTCCTTGTGATCGAGCCCATTTAAACCCCTAGTCCTCAGGCCCCACCGGATTCAGGCCCTTCAGATGATGATGCGGACTGTAATCCCACACCACGGGGGGGGGGGGGGCACTGAATGCTCAGGGCAGAGCTTCCAGGGTTGGCTCCTAACGAATGTGCCAGACGAGAATGTGCCAAAGTCAGAAAGCAACCTTAGAGAGGAGGTCCGGGATGGAGCAGTTGCGTTTGCAGGGTTGGCCCCTCAGTTCGTTTTTTTTCCGTGAAACTAACACGGAACAGCTGCGGTCAGAGCCAGAATATGCCTGTGACTCAGAGGGCTGTGAGGGGCAGGTTAGACACCCAAGGAAAAGGCTGTTTCAGAGAAGAACCGCTGCTGGCCATGTTGGTGGAAGGCCAGTTGGACCACGTTACATCAAGAGTGAGCGCGGGAGTCAGGCGGCCTGGGTGCTGGACCCTGCTCACCCGTGGAGCCAGCTGGGTGACTCTGGGCCAGCCACAGGCTCTTAGCCAACCTGCCTCACAGGGTTCTTGGGGGGGGGGTAAAATTAAGAGCAGCAGGAGAATTATGTAAGCTGCTTTGAGTACTTAAAAACAGATGGAATGTAAAGCTAATAAATAGGGTATCTTCTGTCTTGCAGTGGAGGTTCCCCTTGCTAAAGGATGGGTTTCTAAATGACGAAAGATACCAGAGGCAGTCCATGGCTTCCTCTATGGCAGCATGGTTGTGTGAATGCAGACATGAGTTATGGGGCACTCTTGAGAAAACTAATTGGGAGGAGTCCCATAGAAGTGGATGGAGTTTACTGCTTCCAGTCCTATTACTTTTCCAGGGACCCGAAGAGGGCATAGTCATTCTTCCCACCCCACCCACTCCTTTTAGTCTCACCAGGCGGCTCGGCTCGTGGTTCCCCAGCAAGTCCCTTATCTGACCCTTTAAGGGCCACAGCCTGCCTGTCTCCTCCCTGGGGAAGTCAGAGTCCCATCAGGTGCCGCCACAAGATGGCTGGGCCAATGCATGGCACAGGCGCACAATATCAGGGCTCGGAAGGAAGCAGTAGCCCTCCAGGTGTGTTTCGCAGCCCAAGGTGCATCTCGTTTTCCTCGGCCGTCCCAGTGGGGCTCCCAAACGTGGTGATTCGGATCGCAGCTTTCATCGCTCCCAGAAATACCCTTCGCGCTTTCCTCGCAAAGCATTCCCGAGCAAGCCCACGGGACCGCGGCTGCAGAGGCGCAGGCCTGGGGGATCCAGCGCAGCGGCCCCGTCTCCCGACTCCGGGCGAGCCGGGCACTGTCCTGCAGCTTTCCTCCCGTTCCGAACTGCCAAAGCGCCCCCGAACGGCTGTCGCGGGCCGGCGGGGAAGGGCGCCGCGTCGCAGGAAGCGAGCAGCCGGGAGGCGCGCACGGGCGGGCGGTCGGGCCCCGAAGGCTCGGCGGTGCCCGGCCCGCAGGCGGCGCGGCACGGAAGCGGCCTTTGCCCGGGCGTCCCTCGCCCGCGGCCCGGCTGCAGGAGGCCTTCCTCCCGCGGGGGCGGCGCCCGCCCGCTAGAAAAGCCGGCGGCAGGAGGGCGCGCGGGCAGTGCGCGGCGCGATGGCGGCGGCGGCGGCGCTGCGCGACTTCCAGGCGCTGGTGGAGCGCGCGGGCGGGCGGCAGCGCGTGCTGCTGG